ACAAGACATAGAGTCCTCTGTTGGCAATCTTGTCAATTTAACCATTTAAGCAATCAAGAAGCCTTTCACCATTTTCTTTCGTAGAATGTAAGCAGCTGACAATTTCTGTCTGGTGTCGGATGTCCAAAATGAAATACAGTCTGAGAGACCATTTTGCCTTATTATTGAACGCAGCGCAGAATTGTGGAAAACGCTTAAATTCAGTTTTAATAAGTTCGGTTTCGCACAGTTCTTATAAAGAACCAGCTTCTTTATCCTGTCGCTCAGTGGTAAGAGCACTCGCCTCGCTTGGAAGAGGACCTGGGTTCAATTCCCGGGCAGGGGGAATCTTAGGCAACTTCCCTTACTCCACACGCCTCTGTTTACCTGCCAGTAAGTAGGAACCCGCTTATTAGTCGATTGGCAGATCGCTTTCCGGGGTAATAATCCCTCCAAAAAAATAATAATCCACGACAGTTTGTGGGACGCTGCTGTGCGCAACTGGCTGCTGCGTTTTGCCCTCAAAATATACAGTCAATTCACTTTACAGTATATTCTGTGAAGCACTTTGAGACGTCTCGAAGACGCGATAAGGCGCTATATCAAATGCAAGGATTATTATTACTATTATATGTTATATGGACAGCACAAATCTTTCTGAACACACTGTCTGGCGTAAAGGTAAAATTCAGAGTCCTTTATGCTTTGTTTTCCTTTCTGAAGAATAGTTGGATATTCAAGGAAATCAATCGGGAATTGAGTATGTATGCCACAACTTGACAATTGCTCCTAGCTGCTACATAATGAGCAAGCACCAACAAGAAAATTACACACAAACAATAATTGATCCTATTTGGATATCATCTAAATTCTGCATCCCATGAGAATAGCTGCTGAAAAACCGTAAACCACTAGTTTTTTTCCCCCCGTCTATTACATTTGTCTTCCTTTATGTCTCCACAAACTATGATTGGAGATAATAGTTCTGCTGGGAAAATAATCTGATATAAAAGTCTGTGCTTAAATCTCAATTTGAATTTGAACGGTGAACTCTATTCAGACGGTAGCTTGGAATGTGGAATTCTATGGCACAAAATTGTTGAGGGAGAGTCCATAAATTATTCTAAATGAGTATTATACAGATGCTATCCTAGCTCACTCAGCACTCAACAGAGATCCTCCCTATTTATAGGGCACTCAAGGAACCAATTAGTACATTTATATTGCTCCCGACACCCCCTGTTTGGGTTTGAAGCGCTTTGAGACGTCTTCCTGCAAATGCAAATTGTTTTGCATTGCATCAACCTGCTTTCATTCAGAACTCTGCAGCTCGTGTACTGTCCCGCACCAGGCTTCGCGACCACATCACTCCCACCCTCGTTCGCCTCCACTGGCTCCCCATCCCCCAGAGGATCGAATTCAAAATCCTCATCCTCACCTACAAGGCCATTCACGGCCTCGCTCCCTCTTACCTCTCCGACCTACTATCCCCCTACCTACCTGCCCGTACCCTCCGTTCCTCTGGCTCCGGTCTGCTCCACACCCCCTGCCCCAACCGCCCTACCATCGGTGGCCGGGCCTTCAGCCTCTCAGCCCTGAGGCTCCGGAACTCCATCCCCCAGTGCCTTCACCGCTTCCTCCCTCAAGGCCGGTCTCAAGATCTTTCTCTTCAACCGTGCCTTCACCTCCCCTCTCAACCCCCTCCTCGCTCCATCCCTTTCCTCCCCTCACCCTAACCATTTCCCCCTGCTCAGGTCCCGACCCAACTGTTTAGCGCCTTGGGACGTAAAAGGCGCTCTATAAATGCAATCTTGTTGTTGTTGTTGTTTTGATACAGGCTCGTAACATCTAAACATTTAAAGTGCTTCGCAGGGAATTTCTGTAAAGTATGGTGACTGTATTTGTACACAAAAGCGGCAGTCAATTCATGCACAGCAAAGTCCCATAGATAGCTGTCAACAACAACAGCAACTTGCATTTAAACAGCATTCTTCACAAGGGGTGACATCTCAGAATGCTTGAACCAATAAACAATAAACTTCTGTCTCTTTTTGAAGAGATGTCACTTTTTACCGTCCACCTGAACAGGCAGACAGGACTTTAATTTAAGCTCTCATCCGAAGGGCAGTAGTTCCAGCAATGCAGTGCTCCCTGGCACTGCAGTATCAGCCAAACTATATTAATAAGAATAATCTTTGCATTTGATATAGTGCCTTGTTGAGACATCTCAAAGCGCTTCACAGGATATACTGTAAACTGGATTGGGCATAAAGCTGCAGCCAATTGGGCACAACAATGTCCCATAAACATCCCTCGAGTGAATGACTAAATTTGTTTGGGGATTATTGGCCAGGACACTGGGAGAAATTCCCTTCTCTTTTCAAAAAGTGACATGGAATCTTTAACGTCCAACTGAACAGGCAGATGGGACCTCAGTTTAACATCTCTTCCGAAAGCCGATGCCTCCGACAACGCAACACACTCCGACAACAACAAACTATGTTTGTGTAGCGTCAAGACAACGGCAGCCAATTTCCTGGATTATTAGATCTTTAATATTCCAGGAAAATAAGACACTCTACCGCCTCTAGATGGAGTAATTTGTGATCCCATCTCAGGGGAAAAAAACATATTAAAAGAGCTACCCTTTCTGGTTCATGCACATTGGCTTGTGGGGCTCAACTAAAGTTAATAGTCAGTGGAGACAAAAATTAAAACACCAATGAAAATGGGGGAGAAAGAGGCCAGATTACTTTTTTTTACAGAATACACTGAATGTTAGTTTGAATGCCTATCCTCGTGCACAGAGCAAATTGGCCAGCCTCCTGTAACCCTATCCTCAATAAGATCCAAATGTAAACGGCAAAAATATTTGATCAGAAACTCTGATTCAACTCAAATTGGGAGCTCTTCAGATTTTTTTTTTGCACGAGAACGGATGCAAGCCTCTCACTCCAGAGGTTTATGGACCAATCAATTTCTCCGTGAACCCCCTATGTTCGTAATACCACGTGCGATTTATAATGCGCTAGATCTACAAAGATAAGATTGGTTCCATCTATTTTGGCAACTCGTTTGCGAGGCCGATGCTCAAACCACTAAGCTACAGGACTCCATAGTGCAATCTCAAATGAGGACAGCGTCAAACTCAGTTGTGTTGCCACTTGCGATGGAATAGCCCCTCAGCTTGGGGGAATCACCGTTAACCACCATTAGTTTACAGGTTGTACACGAGTTGCTTCTTTAAACAAGATGAAAAATCAAACCCATCCTTCAGGTAACACAGTAAACCGAGACTCTATCTGCGTTCAGGTCTATATTAAAGATCCCATAACACTACTGCAAAAGAGATGAGAGTTTCTCACGGTGTCCTGGCCAATAGTCCCCTGGGTAAAATTGGTCATTTACTTGATGACTGTTGTGGGATATTCAATACACAGTCACTACACTCCACAGTAAATGCTGGGAACTGCTTTGGGATGTCTTGTGGCGATGTGATCAGGTGCTATACCAAATGCAATTATTATTATTACAAAACCGTGATACAGTTAACGAGTGTATAATGAAGGGATTTTACTCGAACTTTGCACTGTTAGACATTTATTCTTTACCAGGAATTCAAGGTTAACAGTTAACAGTTTTGTTCTGTTCCAATCTTATTATTGTTTATCGACCTGCCTGGTTATATCAGACACTGTAAGAAAGCAACAGGAGGCAGTGAGGTCAATTAAAGAAGATAATAATGGAAAAAATACAACAAAAACTGATAAGCATTTTCCAAAATGATTTGCACAACTGAATAACGTGTCAAAAGGATAGTGCTACCATGTCAGTAGTGAAGAGCTGACAAAAAAGGCAGCGGTCAGAATGTCTGAATGATATGATCTGTGTTTCCACTGAATGGAACATTTATCCTCTATCATCAAAAGAGCTCCAATCACTGTATTCCAACTTTGAAAAGAGTGTTGCTGCCTGCTGAAAAATTTCAATCTTCCCAGTTAAAGTGCAAATTTTGCAGCGTGTAGATCAAAAGAAATAAAAATACAAAATAATAATAATCCTTGCACTTGACGCAGCGCATTATCAAGTCTTCGATACATCTCGAAACACTTCACAGAATATACTGTAAGGTATAAACAGTGCATCTGTTGTGACATTTATTTGCTGTGATGAGGCAAATTTGACCTCATTCAGAACACAAATACATTACGTATACTATCCAAACAATAACAAGACCTCTCAAGCCTGCTCTTGAAATCTCCACGACAAAAATACTTAAGAGTTGGGGGGGAAGCTAAAAATCATGCTTTCGGCCAAGAAGAAACTTATTCCCAATCTCAAAATGCTTCAGTAAAAAAAAATGTCAATCCTAGTCCACCCAGCCAACAAAATGTGTAATGTCCTGCCCATATTCCGTTCCATAATTACAAATTTATAGTCTTGAGTTTTGGCAAAATTAATACCGCTCATCCTTACACACAGAGACTATTATACCCACATTATCCAATAATTTAAAACAGCATAAACCCAAAATATTGCACCCCACTGGTGAGATAAATGGAACCTTATATGCCGATTTTCCTAAAGAAAGAGGATTATTTGCATAGGAAGGATACAGTTACAAGGTGGGTACAAAGACCCGAATTAGACAAACTAAATTAGGTTAACGCCTGTATCTTGTTTAAAGGGGTCCAGTGCCTGCCATGTTGCATTTATACATCAGCTGCAATTGCACCAACTGTATTTCCTCTACGACTTCCAACAGCCCATCGCTGGGAATAAGATTACACTGGAAGGGTTAAAGCTAATTTGCCCAGTAACAGAACCTGCCTTTGGTTAAGTCTTGCGCAAAAATGCAAACTCAAGACTTATTTATGACATGATTCTCATTTCCTCCCCCACCCCACCCGACTCCGCTACTCGGCAAAGAATTTCTCCAGGGAATTTCAGACCTTGAAATGTACCTTGAACGCTTGGGCTGCTAATGCAGGTTGTGGTAAAGAGCGCACTGAAAGACTTACCCCATTCTTCGGGTAGGCTATCCATCCCAGTTCTCCCATTACGGCTCTGGAGTCCAATAAATTAACTGCAAGAGCAAAGAACAAAACAATCAGCCAAATTTACATTAATTCTGAGCTGCTGACAGGACCAGCTGTCGAGCAAGTCGGAGAAACCTTCTGAAGGAAAGTATCAACAGTTTAAAACCACGCATTTATTTGGCTTAAGGAAAGGACATCATTTCTCATTTGGGTTTTGTAAGCGCATCCATCGTTCATTGTGACGGGAACATTTTGTTTTCGGAAAGAAAAAACAAGAATATCTAAATACCATACTTTAACAAAAATATTTTATTAATAATAATGATGATGATGATAATAATTCCTGTATTTGATATCAGGCTTTTCACGTCAGGACATCTTAACAACAAGGACAACAAGATTACATTTGTATATTAAAGCACTTAACAAGACAAGGAGTTAATGTAGTGACTGTGTATTTTCTTATGCACATGTGGCAGCCAATTATACAACAAAGAGCCATGAAATGAATGATCAATTTTATCGGAGGTGGGGGGGGGGGAGGGGGGCGGGGGTTGCTGCCCTGGACACCAACAGAAACTCTCTTCTTTTTTTCCCCAAATAATGCTATCTCTAATTTACACCCCCCTCCCACCCCACCAACCCAGCACTGTATTGGAGTGTCAGCCAAGACTGTGGGTTCAAAGTCCCGACATAGGGAGAGAGATGAGAGTGCTACTGTGGAGTCCTGTAGCTCAGTGGTTAGAGCATTCGGCTCGCAAGCAAGAGACACGAGTTCGATTCCCGGCAGGGCAAAATGTTGGGCAAGTTTCCGTACTCCACACGCCTCTGTTTACCCAGCATTAAGTAGGAACCCAGTTGTTGGTCGATTGGTGGATCGTTTTTCCGGGGCTAATAATTCCTTAAAAAAAATAATAATAAATTGGTCACTTCAATCAGCGACTGTTTGTGGGACGCGGCTGTGCATAATTGGCTGCCGTGTTTTGCCCACAAAATATACAGTCACTAGACTTCATAGTATATTTGGGACATCTCGAAGATGTGATAAGGCGCTATATCAAATGCAAGGATTATTATATTATTATTACTAACCATAGTGGGTGGTTAGGGCTAGAGGGGGCTCAGACCACATCCCTTTAGGGGGAGTTGGGAAGGGAAAGCCCTGAGTCCTGAGGACTGGATAGCCAATCCCCCAACCCATGAGCCCCTTCTTGCCCATCTCCCAATTCCTTGTTGGTGCCCGCCCTCTTCTGGTCTGACTGGCTGCTCGACTCACTTCTAATCGGCTGATGGACCTGTCAGTCAAGTCAATGACTCACCCGTCTTAAAGGGGACCAACCGTTTAACTGAGATTTACTCAGNCCCCCCCTATTCCCCACCCACAAATATTTTCACCCGCCACCCTTGCTACCAACTGAACAAAGTTGACACAAAGTTGTCCTTAAAGATCCCATGCCACGATTCAAAAAGAGAAGGGGTGAAAGAGAATTTCTTTTGGTGTCCTGGCCAAAATTCCCGGATAAAATTGATCGTTCACTACATGGCTGTTTGGGGGACTTTGCTGTGTGCAAGTTGGCTGCTGTTTTCAACCTACAAAATACGCAATGACTGCACTTTACAGTAAATCCTGAGAAGCTCTTTGAGCGTTTATATCAATTGCAAGGATTATTATTATTATTCTTTTTTTTGTGCTTTCTTAGCAATTTAACGTTGGATTTGACAGTGCTAATAACAAGACAACTCAAACAGCTTAAAAAAAATACTAAATTTTCCCAGTTCAAATTTAAGAGAAAGAAAAATGTAATTCAGACCCTTTTTTTCCCGCATGCTTGATAATCTATGCAAGCCTAGTTTTATTCTATTGATCGCCTTCCCTTCCTGTCTTCTCTCACTTTTCTCCCCCCCCCTCCCCCCCGACCACCTACACAATCTAAAACCCCCTAAAAAAACCTCCCCAAACTTCCCCCGCCAATGCCCCCACTCGCATCAGCCTCCAAAATGTCCGCTCCCTCTCAAATAAAGTCCCCCTCGTCAGAATCCGCCACTGTCAAGCACTACGGGACTTTACCCCACGTGAAGGACGCAATCTTAACGCAAGTTGTTGTGGTGGTTGTTATCCGGGTTACCTTCTGTCACACAGACAGCAGCGTGAGTTGATTCGGAGGAAAAAAAGTAAAGCTTTCCAGCAGTATTTTACCATCACAACATTTGGCTTGGAACGCCTGCTTTACAGCTGGATATTTTCCAGATTTAATATCTAAAACCATATAGCCATTATTTTTGAAGCATGAAGAACAATGCAGGAGAAATCTTTGTGGGAATTAGAATGCCAGCGATGCCACAATTAAGTTTAATGTAAGATGTGTGCAGCGCAAGAAATGTGTATTGGGGAATACTGCAGTTAGTGTATATAGGTAACTACGTGGAGTCCTGTAGCTCAGTGGTTAGAGCACTCGCTTTGCAAGTGAGAGACCTGAGTTCAATTCCAGGCAGAGGGCGAAACCTTGGGCAAGTTTCCTTACTCCACACAGAGCCTAATAATAATCCCTCCAAAACCAAAAACAGTAATAAATTGGTCATTTTCAATCCACGACTGTTTGTGGGACATTGCTGTGCGCAATTGGCTGCCGCGTTCGCCCACAAATATACAGTCAATTCACTTTACAGTGTGTTCTGTGAAGCGCTTTGGGACGTCCTCCCGACGTGAAAAGCGCTATATCAAATGCAAGGATTATTATAATTATTATGTTTATCATACTGTACCATAATTGATGTATTTGTAAGTAGTCTTGTCATCCCTTTTCTAGTTTTCATCCAGAAATAAATATAATGATAATAATCCTTGCATTTGATATAACGCTTTTCACAACTTCTAGACGTCTCAAGGCCCTTCACAGAATCTGCATTTGTCTGGTTTTATTTTGTACAAGTAAAATTAATCCCTAACGCCTTAATAACTGATACTGCAATCTTTCACTGCTTTACGTTTTCACTGTTATGTCTGGTTGGCAGAATAATTGTAAACTGGCTCAATTACTCTGCAAAATTCCAGAGATTTTTTTTTGGAAGTGACAATTTATCATTCGCAGTTCACGTTATATATAAGAATGACATTTTTCTTTTAGCATATCTTAACTTTTAACTGGAGAATCTTTTTCTTAGCTGTTCAAATCCTCTCTTGTCCGTTACTGGCATTGATTTATCCAACGTTAAATTGCTGGGAAATAATAATACAAATTTAAATTTAGCACCTCTCACGACGAGTTATGAGAAGTCACTCATTATTACAATGTTTATTTATTCCAATTCTGCGAGGCATTGGAAATGAAAGAGGGATATCTGTAAATCTGTGAAGTGATTGATTTCTTTAAAAATTAGTCCGACAATCTTATCAAAGCTCCCAAGCAGAGGATAAACAGATCACTCTCTCACGGCCTGTCTTTTGGATGAACGAATGCAAAGATTTTAACAGGTTATTGCACCAATAAAAAGCAAGTTTGTGCACTGGTGAGATATATCTCACGACATTGCTATCAGTTTATGTTCCTTTGTTGGCTGTCCAATCGAACAGTTTTACTTATTTCCAGAACAAGTAATGACTTAATGGCATGTACACGGAGCCTTTCTCCGAGCTAACCCAATTTATATCTGCCTCCTTATCCAAATTTACTTCATTTTCAAATTAACCGACAGCTCATTGTCGTTTATGAGAGGTTGTTGGCACAGATTAGCTGCAACATATGCCTGTACGAAAATTCGCTTCCAATTAATTTTATTTCAAATAGACTTTGAGGCATATATTTTACATGAAAGGAATTATATAAATACAAGTTTTATATATATATATATATCTACTCTATGTAAAAAAAAGTTGTTATTCAGCAAACAAAGCGTGTCGACCTTGCAGGCAGCAAACCATCAGCATCGCAAGCCGAGGAAAGTAAGAGAGATGTTGCAAATTGTGAATTCCGCCCCTAAGGCACGGTTAAATGTGGTCGATCGGAAGCTGGAGCATAGCTCCGGGTGGAGAAGTAGGCCACGATTGTTTTCTGGTTTTATCCAGCTTAAACCAAATTGTGAAGTTCATCAATTAGCTCACAAATGTACAGCTAATTCACTTTGCGGTATATTCTGTGAAGCGCTTTGAGTTACGTTGCGAAGGCGTGATAAGGCGCTACATCAAATGCAAGGATTATTATTATTATTGTTAGGGCAATGATTGGATTTTATAGGGTTTGACCCAAAATATGCAGATCCAGTATTCAACAAGAATAAATTGCATTGATATAGCGCCTTTCACGGCTGAAGGTGCTGAGTTGAGGGTTTGCACCTGAGCTGGGGGATGTTTTCGGGAGAGTCTGGGGGGAAAGATAACCAAAGGCGTGATCAAAGAGGAAAATCTTGAGATGGACCTTGAAGGAGGTGAGGGAAGTGGCGAGGTGAAGGGATTCTGGAATGGAGCCAGTGGGTTGATAGTATCTGAAAAAGTCACAAAGTGGGGCAAGATTATGGAGGGATTTAAAAGTGAGGACAAGGATCTTGAACTCCATCCTCTGGGGAATGGGGAGTCAGTGGATGCAAGGATGGAGGTGATAGGGTTCACGGAGCCTAATGCATGAGCGGACATGAGCTGCAGAGAAACGATGCTATCTTCTACAATTAAGTATTTACTAAGGATATTCCAGGAACTAAAAGGGAATCTACCTGGAAATGAAATCTTAAGATTTTTGGGCGGGGGGGAAAGAGCAATATTTCTAGGAACAAGGAGTACACACATGCGACTCTGGCTACGCAGCAAACAGTAGATACAATCTTGTGAGTGTTCATCTCAATAAATAAAAGTCCACAATTTCCTAGCACTGATTCCCAGTTTGTTTTGTTCATTCGCGACCTATTCTGTACCAGGCATGCCTTAATCAATACAATTCATTCTCTGTCAGCTAGTTATGTGTGTACCAGAATTCACAGAGCCTGTATGCTACTATTCAAAAGACGGAGCTTAAAACACTGGATGAAAATGATCCGTTTTACCAGTAATTTCGTATGA